GTGTTTTATTTATATTGAATTTATTTGTAAAGGACATGAGAAACACTGCAATTGTGTAAATAATTTATTAGATTATGAATACAGTAATATCTTTTATGATTATTTAATTAGATTGATATTTTCTCAGAACTTGATGATTTAAAAAGTGACAAATTCATATTTTAATATCATTTTACTCATTATTTGATCTCGTGGTTAATTTTAAGTTATTTTATCAAAATTAGAGAACATCTGTAAATGATTGCATCAATTATTTTCAATTTGGCTCTGATTTGATGATTATGACAATATTAATAAAGTCCTATATTAATATAAGTTTTCCATTTCTAATTTTAAACCTTAATTTATTTAATAATCTATTTTTTAATCAAACATTTAGTTGTCAAACGTATAGACAATAACATTTTTCTTATTAGAGGGATCAATTTAAGATATTTGACCATAAGAATGACCAATGTATGTTTGTGATAAATATTAAAATGAAATGACTATTATTCTTGGACATATGGTATTTGGATAAATTCTCTCAGTATTCATAAATATAAAATAAACCTTTGATAGTATTTGGTGATATACAGTAACTATCTTTAATTACAATATATATACTTTGTACAGTATAGTAATTATATTTTTAATTCTAGCAATTATTGATATTTTACAAAAAAAATCATTATTTATTGAAATTTTAAAATAATTGCAATTATAAAAGTTAAAATGATTTTTAAAATAATGTTTAATAATGTTTTATTAAATGTTTAATTATTTAATAATGTTTCATTTATCTAATAAAAAAAATCATTATTTATTGAAATTTTAAAATAATTGCAATTATAAAAGTTAAAATGATTTTTTAAATAATGTTTAATAATGTTTTATTAAATGTTTAATTATTTAATAATGTTTAATTTATCTAAATATTGAAAAGGAAATATTTTTCAAACGTGTTATAAGCAACGTGATATTTATACTCAATTGCATCGAGTACATTATGTGACATTTATTAGATAAAAAGTTTAACCTATCACACAAAATTATTGACAATTGCAATTTATGACAAACAATATTAATCCAATGATAATGTCAACAATTCTTTGGTGATCAGGGTGTTATCTTTAACTTTACAAAACACAAAATATAGTAAATTGTGTTTTTATAATTCAACTTAATTTTAAACTGAATGTCCATCAAATATCCAATGTTTAATAAAATATAATATTATTTCATAATGCCGTACACTGTTATACAGTATATTTCATTTCATGACTCTACATTAAACATTTCATAAACTAGTAACTTTATTGTACCGTAAAACAATTTTTAAATTTAAATTTTTTATTTCTAAAATTTAACTCATTTTGAATACAAAATACCTAATCATGTAATGTTTGGTAAAAGATATTATTATGAGAGTGGAGTGTATTTTGTTGAATAATATCAATTATTTTTTGTTAACATATTTAGTGTCGGCGTTTGATTTAGAATTAATTGTAGTGTTAATCCATTCACTATAAGTGGAAACTTTTGTATAGACATCGGGCTGACCCGGTTTGCCACAGGGGTCGGGTCCGTACGAGTTAATGCCCGCCAAATACCACTTGCCATCACTGGCCCGGCATTGAAGGGGTCCGCCACCATCTCCCACACACGACGTGAACCCACCCCTGGAGGTGCCCCCAACACACAACTCATTCTCTATATTCCACGAATACATGGGATCGTAAACTTTGGCGCAAATGTTGGTATCGAGTATGGGTTGACTCGACTTCTGCAGCACTTGCGGCCTATCTTTGTCTTTAAGTTTTAAAATGAGATTTAATTTCAAAATCAGAAATATTTTTAAGCAAATAATATTTACTTACTTGAATCGGATAAACCAAAGCCAATCACTAGACAATTGTCAGTCACTTCGGTGTTAGTATTGTTGAGACAAATGGGTGCCAAATGTTTGTGCTTTCCATTGAAATCCAGTTTCTCTTTCAATTGAATTAACGCGATATCATTGGTAATCATTCCGATGTCATACTCTTTGTTGATTACAATCTATTTTAATATAATTATTTAAAATCATTATAATTTTTTATAAGATATATATTCAGGCAAACTTTTTTGATTTTAATCTGAGATTCTGTGCTCTCTTTCACTTTGTGGTTGTGAGCGCCTAATCGTATGACATATCCCTTGACGTCCTCAATGAATACCACACAATGTCCGGCCGTTAGCACCCAATTGTCATTAATGAGTGCTCCGGCACAAAATGGTTTGCCCTGTCCTGGGGAGATGAGTGCGTGCCAGGGATACTCACCCACCACTGTGTCCACCCCTCCCTCTACGCTCCAATCCGTGTCCACATCATTGACACCAGATTTGCCACAAATTTCTGAATTCCCACAACTGTTCATAAAATAAATTGAGTTAGTTTTATCAAAATAACAATTAATTTTTCTATATTACTCATTTAAATCAGTTTTTTCACAATATTCCGAACATAAAACTAAATAACTGGATAAACTTAATACTAAAATTAACAGTTTTGTAAACATTTTTAGACACTTTCTTTGTTAGTCTCACACATAAGTTTGTTATAAAAGTTTTTGTGAAGTTTTATACAAACGTTATGTTTGATGCGATAAATATCAACACTAATCCCATAAACGACAAAATTGTAACAAAATGTACCGTAAATACTACTCAAGATAGCTAGGACGTTTGTCCTGATTGATCTCAAAGTATATCACTTTTATATATAAATATCATTTGACCGAAAGTGCACATAACGGGAGAAATAAACTTTTTAACATTATAAAAGTTTAAATATATTTTTATTAAATGTTTTTATACAGGAACTTTTTAAATCTATAATAATTTTTAAAAACTTCATTTAAACCTCTTATAATTGGTATAACTTAATAAATAACGATTGATAATCAACAAAAACGATTCAATTACTAGCAATGTTATCTTTAATCCACTTTTCAAAAGCAGTCACTCGTGTGAATACATCTGGATATAGACCGGTACCGCAGGGAACACCATATGATGTGATGCCCACTTCATACCAGAGACCATCACTACCCTCGCACTGTAGTGGTCCACCTGAGTCACCCATACAGGTGCCTGAGCGGCCATTACCACCGGCGCATACATTAGTCTTACTGTCCACTCTCGTGAATAATCTCTGACAATTGGAGATGTCATAAATGGGTTCATTCACTTTCTGCAGAATCGTGGCTGTCGGTCCATCTGTTTTCAATGAATTCAATATAATACACAATCAATAAATAAGTCAATCATAATTTAATAAATTATTTATTTATCACATCAATCATTTAATAGTATTCAAACAAACCTTCATGTAAATAGCCAAAACCAGTGGCTATACAATTATTTTTTAAACTCATGCCATTAGTGGCCAAACATATGGGCTCTAAATTGCTATCCTTTCCATTAAAATTCAATTTATCGACAATTTTGACTAAACCGATGTCATTGTGAGGGCCTTTTTGATTAGGGTCATAGTTCTCGTGAAATATTAACTATAAACAGATATAAAAAAGTTAATTACAAATTTATTATATTAAATAAACTTATATATTTCATACGGTGTCGACTTTATGAGTGGATTCGTTACCAGAAGGGTGTCGCTGATCTAGGTAACCTAATTTGACTTCATATTTACTAGGGTTAGAACTTTTAGCAATACAGTGAGCAGCTGTCAATATCCATTGCTCATTTATTATAACGCCACCACATAACTCAATAGACGATGCACCTTGCTTATCTATGAAATATCGTAGCACAATTGCCTGCCACGGGAACTCACCCTTCAGTGCATTGCCTCCGCCTACTATTAAAGTGTTGGTCACAGACTGGGTTTTAGGTCGACCGCAGTTTTGTGTGTTAACTACCACTAAACATGTATACAAACAAATTAATACAAACACTTTTATTGGTTCCAACATTTTGGGCATTTATAATTTCAATTGTTTTAAATATAAACTCTTTTGTAATAGTTTTTATACTGAAATTCAGTATTACTGATATTTATAATGTGTTTTATGTGTGAAATAAAACATTTGTTTATTTTGATAAAAGATAATCTCATACTTTTTTATAATTTCTCTTAATGTAATAAACGGAAAAACAATAACTAAATACGGAATCATTTTCAATTTCTTAGAAAGAGTGAAATACACTATTTATCTCACAATATTAGGTATAAAACAAATATTATAAAAAAATTATGTTCGTTACTATCTATATTTATAATTAATTAGATTAAATAATAGGATATAATTCAATTGTTATTTCTTAATAAATTTTAATGTTTTAAATTGTTAAAAAATTATATTATACTGTATTTTAATTTATTGTCTTTAAGAAGTGAGATAATAAGTTATTTATTAAAATATAAATTAATAGATAATATTAATTGGTCGAGACTTATTATCTGATATAATTAGATTGATATTAATGAAGCATTAATATGAAATATTTTTTATTACATTATAAAATAAATTAATGTTTATCGATAACTTGTTGAATCCAATTAACATAAACGGATACTTTAGAGAAAACATCTTCCATGTGGTCGTGATTACAACTGCCCACACACATTGAGGTGANTTAAGACTTATTATCTGATATAATTAGATTGATATTAATGAAGCATTAATATGAAATATTTTTTATTACATTATAAAATAAATTAATGTTTATCGATAACTTGTTGAATCCAATTAACATAAACGGATACTTTAGAGAAAACATCTTCCATGTGGTCGTGATTACAACTGCCCACACACATTGAGGTGACACCCAATTGATACCACTTGCCATCACTGCCCGGGCATATGAGTGGTCCACCGGAATCACCAGTACATACACCACTCACACCTTTACTGTCAGCTCTGGTACACACTTCTATGGTATCGTTATAAAAATCATAATATGTTTTTACACACAAACTTGAGTTAACTATTGGTTGGTTAAGCTTTTTGAGAATTTCAGGTCTGTCCCAATCTATTAGATTTAAGTATTAATAAAATTACTATTATATGGGTGAAATAGAATTTAATTGCATAGGTTATTTTAATAAGAAATATACCTTTATTAATTAAGCTTTTTGAGAATTTCAGGTCTGTCCCAATCTATTAGATTTAAGTATTAATAAAATTACTATTATATGGGTGAAATAGAATTTAATTGCATAGGTTATTTTAATAAGAAATATACCTTTATTAATGGCCCCAAAACCGACTGAAAGACATGCCTCAGAGGTTGTAATGGAAGTGTTTGGCAGACAAATGGGTTCTAAATGTTTATGCTTTCCATTGAAGTCCAGTGTTTCATTCAATTTAATTAATGCGATATCGTTGGCTAATTTGTCAAAATTCCAGTCCGGGTGCTCTACCAACTAAACACATATTAAATTATAAAATTCATTTGTTATAACATTTAAAAGCATAATAAATGGTAACATTACTGACAAGAGAGGCTCCAAAATCATATTCTGTATTCTCATGTGTCGTGCGGTTATGTACTCCCAAACGGACCAAATAATGGCTCACGTTATGACTGTTCAGTAAGCAATGGGCAGCCGTTAGCACCCACTGGTCAGTGATGATTGTGGCCCCGCACTGGTCATCCCACTTGTTGTCAATCCATTCAGCCAGCAATGCCTGCCACGGGAACTCACCCACCGATGCATTACTTCCCCCTTCTATTAAAGCATTGATATTGTGGTTGGCTTTAGATTTACCACAATCTTGTGGGAGACCTAAACAATATGCCACACATATCAAACAAAACAAAATTTTTATTATATTACACATTTTAAAAGTAATTTCTTTATTTAATAATTTTTAGCTTGATTTATACTATAATTGCGAATTGATATGAGAAACTATACATGTGTTAACTAACAACTGCACTGAACTTTGTTATATAAAGTGTCCGAATATTGGCACATAAGTCCCCATACAAGTCATATCTGATTTTTACTTTTACTTATAATTTCACATTAATTCTCATGAATTATGTTAAAACTTATTAGAAATAAAGTTTGGAAAATGAAAACTTTATTATCATTACAATTCTAACAATTCTAGAAGTTTTATTTAGAATGAACTTGATAAATTTGTTTGGGAATAGTTTATTTTAATCAAAATTAATTGTTGTCAATAACTTCTTGAATCCAATGCACATAAGTTGCTACTCTTGAGAAGACATCTTCTTTATGGTCGTGATCACAACCTCCAGCACCCCATGAGGTGACACCCAATTGATACCACTTGCCATCACTGCCCGGGCATATGAGTGGTCCACCGGAATCACCAGTGCATACACCGCTCACACCTTTACTATCAGCTCTGGTACATACTTCTATGGTGTCGTTATAAACACCAGAATATTCCTTCTCACATAAACTCGAGGCAACAATCGGTTGATTTAATTTCTTAAGAATTTCTGGTCTTTCAGATTCTGATAGATAATAATTATTATTAAATAATATAACAATTGTTACAATCAATTATTTAAATATTCATATAAATCATTGAAACAAACTTGCGTTTATTGCTCCAAACCCGACGGCCAGACAATTATCGGTTACTTTAATGGAAGTGTTTGGCAGACAAATGGGTTCCAAGTTTTTATGCTTTCCATTAAAATCCAGTGTTTCATTAAGTTTAATGAGAGCTATATCATTGGTTACTTTAGATTCATCCCATTCCGGGTGCTCTACTAACTGTTATAATATCAATATAAACTATAACTTATGTATAATAATTTAATGATTTACATACAAGACTGGCACTAAAATCAAATTCTGTGTTCTCATGTGTCGTGCGGTTATGTACTCCCAAACGAACCAAATAATCACTTTTGTTATGACTGTTCATTAGGCAATGGGCAGCCGTTAGCACCCATTTATCCGTGATTATAGTGCCTCCGCACTGATCGTCCCATTTATGGTTAAGCCATTCAGCCAGCAATACCTGCCACGGGAACTCACCCACCGTTGCATTACTTCCCCCATCTATTAGAGCATTGATATTGTGGTTGACTTTAGATTTACCACAATCTTGTGGAAAACCTAAAGAATATGTTAAACAGTACCCGATATAAAGAGTAATTATTGTTATTTTAATAAACATTTTGAAACATCTTTAAAATAATATTTTTTCAAATATTTATAAACGTAAGTTAAAATATCGATGTTTAATACATCAGATAATACAGGTGAGAAAGTACACACTTGTTGTACAAACAGATGGATATACTTACTATTTACTAGTAAGTACTACTTCTAATATTTGTCTATTATATACAATATTTTGTGGACACTTTTAATCGTCTATCTTACCATTACATTCTGTTATTTATAATTAACTTACTTAGTAATTATCTTTATCAAATCATTTATTTCACTCATTTCTTTGAAAATTGTAAATTCATTGAAAATTATTTTAAACATTTTTAATCAAATAAAAATTAAACTTGTATAAATTTAGTTTTATTAATTATTTTGAATAGTCTTTTCAATCCAATCCTTATAATAAGCGACTCGTGTGAACACATCGGGCTCTTTGGCGTGAGCACAGGGATCACCCCATGAAGTGATCCCTATTTGATACCACTTGAGATCCTCACCAGAATAACACTGGAGGGGACCACCCGAGTCACCCATACAGGTACCGATGCCGCCCTTGTCTGAACCACCGGCGCATATATTCCTCTCAACATTGATGTTAACCATAAGTTCACTGCATTTTGTTATGTTATAAATGGGTTCCGAAACTTTCATAAGTGTTTTATTCTTAAATTCAGCTA